GCTGCATGCAAATTAGCAGCAGCAGCATCTAATCCGTCGCAATAGAAACTATTTATATAATTACATACCGCCATCTTCTTCTCCCTTTTCCCCTTCTTGTTCCTACGAAGAAGGGAGCAGATATAGCCGCCCTTTTCCTTGTTTAGTCCCTCTTAAAGAAAGAGAGAGAAGTATAGTAATAATGCAATAAAATAGTATTGTTTTTAGTAGGTTATTTATAACTAAACAGTAGGAATAGGGTAGGAAGGAGAGGGAGGGGCCGAAGAGGCAGAGGAGGAGGAAAACGAAGACAATACTGAGGTGTACTCCTCTATATGGGCATAAAAAGTAGTATTTAGTGATATAGGCAATTATTTAAGTCCTTCGTTGGGGAAAAAGGTGAAAAAATGCTCATTCGGGTGTACATACACCGCAGGTGACCGGTGGAAGGAAGACAAAGGGTTGTAGGCAATGTCTGAGGTCCGTTTTTGTGAACCTATGGATAAAAAGACGTAAATATTCATAATTAACTATGTGTAAAAGGAAAAAAAGCAGAAAAAAGTGAATAAATGGTGAAATAGAGGTCAAGGTTACCTCCAGACGGAGAAGAAGACCTTAGTAGACACGGTCGATACGGGGAAGAAATGAAGAAAGGGAACAGAGGGTATTTTCTAACGACTGAGGCCGATTAATACCTTAAAAGAAAGAGAAAATAAAAAGAAATACATTTATATATTTATTTAATAGAATAAACGGGCCGTTAATGATAAATGAAGGTATTCTTGTTGTGCTGGACCGACCGATAAAGTTGAACACCCCGCGCCACCATGGCTGTACACCTGAAATGGTGAACCGCTGCGCGCCATTCAACTTGCTCATTCATTTATTCATTTATATAACTCTTGAACTATTATATACTTGAAGATTATTTGCATTCTCTTCTTTTATATTTGTACTTATATTATTCTATCTTATATTGATTGCATATTCTTGAATTTGCTTTCTTTATTCTCTCTCTCTTTCTCTCTCTTTCTTCGGCTGTCTCGATATAGCTGTACAAAACAAGAAAAGGAAAAAAGAAGAATATTTTCTTCTTTCTTTCTTTTTTATTATCAATAAGATTATTATATTTATTGTTTATCTATTCAATAAATAATAATTCTCTACAATAAAACTTATTTCTTTGCAAATAACTATCCATCCAACAACCTTTGGTGAGTCAATGGTTGGTGACCTACACTTGGCTGGTCACTCGCCGGCCACCCTAAACCCTAAACCCTAAACCCTAAACCCTAAATCTTAGATATTAATTATGATTATAAAACATATAATTTATGATTATAAAGGTGTATTTATGCTTCTTTCTTCTTTTTTTCTTTACTTACTATCCTTTTTTTCTTCTTTTTCTCCCTCTCTTCCTCCCTAGGGAAAATGTCTTGCTCTAAGCCCATCACGAAGTTCCCCGTTGGAGGAAAAGACGAAGAAATGCAAAGAAGGAAAAATGCATGCAGGGCAATTGCCTTAGGATCTATTCATAAGAATAGTAGGGTTTATAAACCCTAAACCCTAAACCCTAAACCCTCGATCCAGCCAACCCTATAGATCTATAGATCTATCATGTGGTTGTATAATACCTCTTTATATATATATTTATTCTTTTTTTTCTTCTTTTTTCTTTAGGTGTGCCTGCAAGAGAAACAAAAAAAGAAGTAGTAATGAATAAAAAGGAAGACTTTTCCTCTTTATTTACGAATAAAGGAACAACAATAACAAGAAAAGAGGAGGAAAACACGATTAGGAGTCATGTTAATCCATCTGCTCCTGCTGCTCCTGCTTGTACTCCTGCTGGTGGTGCTGATGCTCCTTCTCCTCCTCCTCCTCCACCTCCTTCTCCAGCCTCTCCCACTGCTGCTCCTGCTGGTGTATTTGCTGCTATTGCTGCTCCTGCTGCTCCTGCTCCTGCTCCTGCTCCTGCTGCTCCTGCTGCTGATAAGAATAAGAAGAAAAATGACGACCTTTGGTCTTATGTATCTAAAGTTGTTGAACAAAGGAATCTTCTTAATCAACAAAAAAAAGAAACAATAAATAATAAAAAGGTAATATATATATCCATGCAATATTTTATATTTCTTTATTTACTTATTTATTTATTTATACTGTTTATCTTTATTTTATTTTAATTTCTTTTTTTCTTTCTTTTTTTGTGTTGTGTACAGACAGCACAAAATCAACACAAAAAATCATCCTCAGGAAAAACAAGAAAGCAATGGAGAGTAAGTTCAATAAATATATAAAATAAATAAATAAAATAAATAAAATAAATAAAATAAATAAATAAATTTTATTCATTTTATCTATTTATTATATAAAAAGGATGTATTTTATCTTTTCTTCTTTTTTTTCTTGTTTTCTTTCTCTGCAGGCGGACATTCCCCAAAGTTGGGAAAGTTCTCCTCCTTTGCCTCTTGGTAAAGAAAAAAAAGAAATAACACCAGCAGCAACAGCAACAGCAACAGCAACAGCAACAGCAACAGCAATAGCAGCAGTAACAAGAGCAACAGCAGCAGCAGTAATAAGAACAGCAGAAGCAATAATACCAACAGCAGCACCACCATCAACAACAAGTGCAGCAGCAGCACCACCAAGAACAACAACTGCAGCAGCAACAACAACAGCAACTGCTGTAGCAGCAACAGCAGCAACAACAGAAACAGCAGCAGCAACAAGAGACGATGATGATGTATCTGCTACGGAGAGGTTATTGGCTGAATATGATGAATTAGATGAGATAAAGAGAGAGAGAAAAAGAGAGAGAAGAAGAAGAAGAGAAGAAGAAGGAAAAGGAGAGAGGAGAAGAACAAATAAGAATAGAAATGTTAAAGAAAATAAAGAATTATATTCTTCTCTTGTTAATATATTACGTACACATAAAGATATAAATAATGCAGATACACAATATCCTTTCTGTCCTTGTGGATTCCCTCATTTCAAGGTACTGTACACTGTATATACACCCGAATTAATTATATAATATTTATTATTTATTTAATTTATGTATTTATTTATATTTATTTATTTATATTATATTTATTTACTTTCCTCTCTTTTCTTTGCAGCTAGCCACCGAAAGATATCCTTATCAACCTGGTCTTGGCCTTATTAATTCACTAACAATACAAAGAAATAACTACAACGTAAGTCTTTATTTGCTTATTTATTTTTTTAATTTAATTAATTTATTTATTTATTTATTTATTTTTATTTAACTGTCTATATCCTCTTGAAATATATACATATATTTATTTCTTCTTTTTTCCTTAGGCATCATTATTAGCTGCTCGTCAAGGAGAGCAGCAAACAAATAATGTTGCTAGTTCTTCTTCATCATTAATAAATAATATACAAAAAGAAGAAGACATAAATAAATTAAATAATACTATTCATCTATTAAAACGACAAATAGAAATACAAACACAAGAATTATATAAACAAGCAAGAAATATTAGTAATCTTATTAACAACGATAATAATAATACTAATAATAATATTATTAATAATAATAGAAGTAATAATAATAATAATAATAATAATATAAATAATAATATTTATAATAGAGGAGGGAATAATAATTATAATAATAATAACAATCAAGAAAGAAACAATAATAATAATTATAATAATTATATTCAACAAAGAAATACTAATATTACTACTATTACTACTACTAATAATAATAATATAAATAATAATACTAATAATAATAATATTAGTAATAATAATAATATAAATAATAATAATAATAATAATAATAATAATCAAGAAGATAATCAATCAACAGTAAGTTTATTTTATTAATTATTTATTTATTATGTATTATTCTTATAAATAATATATATCCTTTTTATTAGTCTTCTTTTCTTTCCTTATTTTTCTTCTTCTTCGTCTTTCTCATCTCCGCCTTTTTCTTCGTCTTCCTCTTCTTCGCCTTTTTCCTCCTTTTCTTTTTAGTCTTCTTTTTCTTCTATTTGTTTTTTTCTTTTCTTTCTTCCTTTGTTCTCTTTCTTCTTTTTTTTCTCTTTTTCTTCCTTTTCTTCGCCTTCGTCCCCCCTTTGTGGCGTCTTGTGGCGTTTGGCGGTCATCAACGGGGACGATAGGATTCTATCTTTACATTTATGCTGCTGCTGATTTTGCTGCTGCTGCTGCTGCTGGTGTTGCTGTTGCTGTTCTTGCTGCTGCAGCTGTTGTTGCCGTTGTTGTAATAAAAGATATATAAGTTATTTTATGCTTATTATTTATTATATATTATTAATTATTAATTAATTATTAATTAATTATTATGTATTATTTAGGTGTGTTATAAGATGGGACCTTTTTATAAAAACCTCCAATGGAGGAAATCACATGATGGCGAACAAGCCCCTAATGTTAGTCTTTATTTAATTTCTTTTTATTTATATATATATATTAATAAATAAGTCTATATTTGCATGCATACATGCATGCATGCATAAATAATATGCATGCAGCCCCAATATTTTCTTGTGTGTGTGTGTTTTTTTTTTCCTTAGAATATCGAGCCAAGACCTTACTATAAAAATATAGTTTGGAAAAAAGACCAACAAGAAACAACTAATGTATGTTTTCTTAGCAGCAGCAGGAGCAGCAACAGCAACTGCAGCAGAAACAACTGCAGCAGCAGCAACAGCAGCAGTATGTTAATTTGCCTATTTTGTGTGTGTATTTGTGTTGTATTGATTAATTAGGAGAAGAAGGAAGAAAATACAAATAAAAAACGTGTTGGTTATTTAGGGAAGAAACCTTATATTAATCCTTATGTACAAGGAGCTGATGGTTATTATTATAGATCTAATAAAAATAAACATAATAATAATAAATATAATAATAATAATATAAATAATAATTATATAAATAATTATAATAATAATTTACCTCCACCTCCAATTAGATCAGTTAATGATGAATATCTTAAGGGATATTTTCTTCCTTATCTACAACAGCAAATGAACCAACGCCAGTTAAGTCCAATGCAGTGGGAGCAGCAGCAGCAGCAACTGCAGCAGCAACAGCAACAACAACCGCAACAGCAACCGCAAGAGCAGCAACAGCAACAGCAACCGCAAGAGCAGCAACAGCAACAGCAACCGCAAGAGCAGCAACAGCAACCGCAAGAGCAGCAACAGCAACCGCAAGAGCAGCAACAGCAACAGCAACAGCAATCGCAAGAGCAGCAGCAACCACAGCAGCAACCGCAAGAGCAGCAGCAACCACAGCAGCAACCGCAAGAGCAGCAGCAACCGCAACCGCAACCGCAAGAGCAGCAGCAACCACAGCAGCAACCGCAAGAGCAGCAGCAACAGCAACCGCAGCAGCAGCAGCATTGCTGTCGTGTGCATGGTAGTGGAGGAAAAGAAGAAAAAAGACCAAATTGGACTTTAATACTCAAAAAATACGAAGAAGAACAAGAAGCATTACATCAACGAATCAGTAAGAATATTTATTTATATTTATTTATATATATATAAAATAAATTATCTATTTATATATATTTTGTTAATTTATTTATTTCTCTTATTTATTTATTTATTTATTTATTTATTTATTTATTTATTTATTTTATGTACAGGAGAAGGAACAGACAAGGCACCGCCACCAACTCGTTATGATGTACAGATGGCCTTCCTATTAGCACATAGGAAACAACTGCATCTTGATGAATAAATACATACACAAATTAATTTATTAATTAATTAATTAATTAATTAATTTAATTAATTAATTAATTAATTATTTAATTAATTTGTTTATGTATTTTTTTATCCTTTTTTAATAATATATTTTGATTAATAAGTATAATATGTTTTATTTATATTTATTTAATTGTATTATTTTATTTAATTATTTAATTAATTATTTTATATTAATAAATATATTTATATGAATATATTTTATAAATAAATATCTTTTATAATAATAAAAATATATTTAGATGAATATATTATTATAATTGTTTGGAGAGAGGAGGAGGCCTGTTTTTATTCCTTTTCTTCTTTTTCTTTCCTTTTCCTTTTCTCCTTTCCTTTTATTTAAAGGTTTTCTTCCTTTTATTCCCTATTATTATTCCTTTGTATATATAATAATATATAATATAATTATATATTATTTATATATATAATATATATATAAATATAAAGGTATAAAGAAGGTAATTTTATCCTTTTTTTTCTTCCTTACAACTCTTCTTTTCCTTTTTTTATTTCTGCATGCGCGGTTTGCGCTGCTATCTCCTCCTCTCTTCTTGTCTTCTTCCTCTATACACCAATACTTAGTTATAATACTTTTATTATTATTATTACTTATTATTAATTAGTATTTATTTTTAGTCTTTATTTCTTTATTATAATATATAGTAAATAGTTCGTATTATTATTAGTTGTATAAATAGTATTATAATTTATCTTATTTCTTCGTTACTATCTAATTATTAATTATTTATTATTAATTATTTATTATTAATTATTAATTAATTATTATTAGTTAATATTATTAGTTTATTTTATCTTTTGCTTATTACTAACAGTTAATAATAATAATAAGTATGTTATTATTAATACTAATTATATATATATTGTTTACCTTATAATAAAACTAAGACTTATTAGTAATAAATATAATAATTATTATTATTTATATTTATATTTATTTATATTTTGTTTACTAACTAACAATTAATAATATTAATTATTATTATTAATAGTATTATTTATATTATATTTATTCTACTAATATAATTTACTTAGTAACTAAATGAGACAATGTTGCTCTTAATACTTTATAAATTATTTATTATTATATTTATTTATTTATTATTTATTAATATATAATATATTATATATATTTATCTAATAATAAGAAAAAAGAGACAAAAAAAGATGAGGGTTTAGGGTTTAGATATACAACCCTCTATAATTATATAGAGAGATAAAATAGATGAGGTATTTAATTAACAGCAATAAATAAATAAATAAATAAATTAAATAAATAAATAATTTATTTAATTTATTTATTTAATTTATTTATTTAATTTAATTAGCAGTTAGTGTTTGTTCTTTTTGTTTATAAGATTTAAGATCAAAGAAGAAACAACGAGAAGAAAAAGAAGAAATTTTCTCCTCAACTACACCAACCAGTAAATCTGCTGCAGTAAATAACCTATAAATAAATAAATAAATAAATAAATAAATAAAAAAAAAAAATAAAATAAATAAATAAATAAACTATAATATGTTATGTATTATTAATTAAATAAATAAATATATAAATGCATATAACCCTAACCCTAACCCTAAACCCTTATTATAACTAAACCCTAAACCCTAATAATAAATAAATAAAATGTTAATTTACCTTTCTTTATGGGTAATAAATATACATTGTATCTTATTATCTCCGGATATTTCCTTTAATAGAGCAGCAAGACGACTTAATCTTGTTTTATCTAAA